TTCGCTCTTGTTACCCAGGCTGGAGTGCAATGGCCCAACCTCAGCTCACCGCAACCTCCGCCTACTGGGTTCAGGCAATTCTCCTGCCTCAGCCTCCTGAGTAGCTGGGATTACAGGCGCGCGCCACCATGCCCAGCTAATTTTTTGTATTTTTAGTAGAGACGGGGTGTCACCATGTTGACCAGGATGGTCTCGATCTCCTGACTCGTGATCCACCCGCCTCGGCCTCCCAAAGTGCTGGGATTACAGGCTTGAGCCACCGCGCCCGGCCTGATTTTTGTAAGTAGAGCATAAATATGGAAATATGCTCTGTTGTAAAGGTGGCATTCAGATTTGCTGGAGTTTTGGAAGGCAAACACATTATTCAGTAAACAATAGGATCATAATGGGCCAGCCTTTTGGAAACAAAAAGAAAATGCTTCTTTGGTCAAATTAATTCAATAATGATCAAATATTTAGATGTTAAAAATAACCACAAAGTTACCTGAAGAAAATTTAGGTGAATGTTTTATAATACTTTCCTGGAGGCATTTCTGAACACATATAAAGCATAATGACAAGGATAAAGATGAATTAACATTCACTGTTTGTGGACAGGCACTGTGCACACTTGTAGTCCCAGCACTTTAGCAGGAGGATCACTTGATGCCAGGCATTCAAGACCAGCTAGGGCAACAGAGTGAGACTCCGTCTCTACAAAAAAATGACAAAATAATTAACCATGCATGGCGGCACGCACCTGTAGTCCCAGCTACTTGGGAAGCTGAGGCAGAAGGATCTCCTGAGCCCAGGAGTTTGAGGATATAGTGAGCTGTGATTGTTCCACTGCAGTCTAGCCGGGGCAAAAGATCAAGATCCCATCACTTAAAAAATCTATATATGTGACACGCAAGGGGAAATTTAAATAAATAAATAACATATATGTTTACACATATATATTATTTTCATTGGTAGGCCTTCATTGCCCTCCAGAAAAGCTGATTCATTCCCATTCCCCTTTACTTTTCATTTCCCACTGTCATCAGTCTCTTTCCCCCTATTTAAGGTTAGAAAATTTCTCATATTGTGTTATCTTTCTTCAGTTATTGTTCCTGTTTACTGAGAATTTCTTTTCTATTTGGGTTGGATATTCGTATCATTTACTTCGTTTTCTCTTTAGCTATTGGTCCTTTTAGGAATATGAAATAGGAGTGGTGAGAGAGGGCATCCTTGTCTTGTGCTGGTTTTCAAAGGGAATGCTTCCATTTTTTGCCCATTCAGTATGATATTGGCTGTGGGTTTGTCATAAATAGCTCTTATTATTGATTGGTAAGAAGCCTTTATATAATAACTGGGTTATGTTTTGGGAAAGTGTAGAAGTTGAAATTTTAGGAATCACGGAACACCCAGAAATAATGCTGAGACAGCAAACTGCGAAAACCTGTAATGTGTCCGATGTACACTGTGTCCGCAGCTCCGCCGCATGCAGGAGATGATCGCTGGGATGCAGGCGCAGATGCAGCTACAGATGCAGGGTGGGGACGGCGACGGCGGGGCTCTCGGGCACCACGTGTGAGGTAATGTACACACACCGGGAGGTCAGAGGCGGGCCCTGGTGTCTCTGAGCCTGGAAGACAGGCAGTTGTTACCAGCATTATATTGTGTGAAATATGACGGGCTCCTCCTCAAGCGTTACCAATGTTTTGCATTTTGAAGTTGTTATTAACTCCATCACTAGTCTTAAATAAGAAAGGTTTACTCCTGAAGAACAGAAGCCACTGCTTTGCCACCTACTTTCTAGTAAAGATTTTTCATATTTTTCTCTTTTTTTAAAATTGTACTTTAAGCTCTGTAGTACATGTGCAGAACATGCAGGTTTGTTATGTAGGTTGGCCATATCCGTCACCCCGTCATCTACATTAGGTATTTCTCCTACTACTATCCCTACCCTGGCCCCCCACCACACCCCCCAATAGTCCTGGTGTGTGATGTTTCCCTTCCTGTGTCCATGTGTTCTCATTGTTCAACTCCCACTTACGAGTGAGAACATGTGGTGTTTGGTTTTCTGTTCCTGTGTTAGTTTGTTAAGGTTGATGGTTTCCAGCTTCATCCATGTCTCTGCAAAGGACATGAACTCATCCTTTATTATGGCTCCATAGTATTCTGTGGTGTATATGTGCCACATTTTCTTTGTCCAGTCTATCATTGATGGGCATATGGGTTGGTTCCAAGTCTTTGCTATTGTGAACAGTGTTGCAGTAAACATACGTGTGCATGTGTCTTTGTAATAGAAGGTTTATAATTCTTTGGACATATACCCAAAGATTTGTAATGGGATTGCTGGGTCAAATGGTATTTCTAGTTCTAGATCCTTTAGGAATCGCCACACTGTCTTCCACAATGATTGACCTAATTTACGCTCCCACCAACAGTGTAAAAGCATTCCTATTTCTCCACATCCTCTCCAGCATCCATTGTCTCCTGACTTTTTAATGATCGCCATTCTAACTGGCATGACATGGTATCTCAATGGGTTTTAATTTGCATTTCTCTAATGACCAGTGATGATGAGCATTTTTTCATGTTTGTTGGCCTCATATATGTCTTCTTTTGAGAAGTGTCTGTTCATATCCTTTGCCCACTTTTTGATGGGGCTATTTTTTCCAATAAATTTAAGTTCTTTATAGATTCTGAACATGAGCCCTTTGTCAGATGGGTGGGCTGCAAACATTTTCTCCCATTCTGTAGGTTGCCTGTTTATGCTGATGATAGTTTCTTTTGCTGTGCAGAAGCTCTTCAGTTTAATTAGATCCCATTTGTCTATTTTGGCTTTTGTTGCCATTGCTTTTGGTGTTTTAGTCATGAAGCCTTTGCTCATGCCTATGTCCTGTAAGGTATTGCCTAGGTTTTCTTCTAGGATTTTTATGGTTTTAGGTCTTATGTTTAAATCTTTAATCCATCTTGATTTAATTTTTGCAAGGTGTAAGGAAGGGATCCAGTTTCAGCTTTCTGCATATGGCTAGCCACTTTTCCCAACACCATTTATTAAATAGGGAATCCTTTCCCCATTGCTTTTGTCAGGTTTGTCAAAGATCAGATGGTTGTAGGTGTGTGGCCTTATTTCTGAGGCCTCTGTTGTGTTCCATTGGCCTATATATCTGTTTTGGTACCAGTACCATGCTGTTTTGGTTACTGTAGCCCTGTAGCATAGTTTGAAGTTAGGTAGCCTGATGCCTCCAGCTTTGTTTTTTTTGTTTTTTTATTTTTGCTTAGAGTTGTCTTGGCTATGTGGGCTCTTTTTTGATTCCATATGCAACTTAAGGTGGTTTTTTCCAGTTCTGTGAAGAAAGTCAGTGGTAGCTTGATGGAGATAGCATTGAATCTATAGATTACTTTGGGCAATATGGCCATTTTCACGATATAGATTCTTCCTAATCATGAGCATCTGTTTGTGTTCTCTCATTTCCTTGAGCAGTGGTTTGTAGCTCTCCTTGAAGAGGTCCTTCACATCCCTTGGAATTTGTATTCTTAGGTATTTAATTCTCTTCGTAGCAGTTGTGAATGGGAGCTCACTCATGATTTGGCTCTTTCTTTGTCTGTTATTGGTGTATAGGAATGTTTGTGATTTTTTTCACATTGATTTTGTATCCTGAGACTTTGCTGAAGTTGTTTATAGTTTAAGGAGATTTTGGGCTGAGACAATGGGGTCTTCTAAATATGCAATCATGTTGTCTGTAAATAGACACAATTTGACTTCCTCTTCACCTACTTGAATAACCTTTATTCTTCCTCTTGCCTGATTGCCCTTGCCAGAACTTCCAATACTGTGTTGAATAGGAGTGGTGAAAGAAGGCATTCTTGTCTTGTGCCAGTTTTCAAAAGGAATGCTTTCAGTTTTTGCCCATTCAGTATGATATTGGCTGTGGGTTTGTCATAAATAGCTCTTATTGTTTTGAGGTACGTTTCATCAGTACCTAGTTTATTGAGAGTTTTTAGCATATGAAAGGTTGTTGAATTTTGTCAAAGGCCTTTTCTGCATCTCTTGAGGTAATCGTGGTTTTTGTCTTTGGTTCTGTTTATGTGGTGAATTACATTTATTGATTTGCGTGTGTTGAACCAGCCTTGCATCCCAGGGATGAAGCCGACTTTATTGTGATGGATAAGCTTCTTGATGTGCTGTTGGATTCGGTTTGCCAGTGTTTTATTGAGGATTTTCACATTGATGTTCATCAGGGATATTGGCCTGAAATTTTCTTTTTTAGTTGTGTGTCTGCCAGGTTTTGGTGTCAGGATAATGTTGGCCTCATAAAATGAGTTAGCCCTTATCAGAGCTCGAACACTGTTTTGGGAAATCCACTGCTCTCTTCAGAGCTGCCAGGCAGGGATGTTTAGGTCTGCTGAAGCTGTACCCATTATCACCCCTTTTCCCAGATGTTCTGTCCCAGGAAGGTGGGGGCTTTATTTATAAGTCCCTGATGGGCTGCTGCCTTTTTTTAGAGATGATCTGCTCAGCAAGAACATCTAGTGAGACAGTGCCTGCAGCTGGTGAGCTGTGTTGGGCTCCACCCAGTTCGGATTTCCCAGCAGCTTTGCTTACACTGTGGGGTAAGCAAACCCCTACTGGAGCCTACAGGAGCCTCAGCAAAGGCAAACGCCCCTCCCCGTACGGAGCTCGAACCGCCTAGGTCAGGCCCAGGCTGCTGTGCCAGCTGCTTGGATTTCCAGCCAGTGGATCTCAGCTTGCTGGTCTCCATGGCGGCGGGACCCGCCAAGCCAGAACACTTGGCTCCCTGGCTTCAGCCCCTTTTCCAGGGGAGTGAACAGTTCTCAGGCACCCAAGAGACAAAATGGGGGTATGAAAAAAAATTGCTGCAACTAGCTTGGTTTCTCCCCAAACGGCCACCCAGTTTTCTGCGGCAAACCCAGGGCTCTGTTGTGTAGGTACGAGAGGAAATCTCCTGGTCTGCAGGCTCTGAAGACCGTGAGAAAAGCACAATATCTGGGCCGGAGTGCAGGAAACAGTTCCTGGTGGCTTCCCTTGACTAGGAGAAGGAGCTCCAGGTCCCTTGTGCTTCCCAAGTGAGGCAGCGCCCCACCCTGCTTCCGCTCACCTTCCTTGGGCTGCACCCACTGTCCAACCAGCCCCAATGAGATGACCCTGGTACCTCAGTTGGAAATGTGGAAATCACACCCATCTTCTGCATTGAACTCACTGGGAGCTGTGCACCGGAGCTGTTTCTCTTTGGCCATCTTGCCCAGGGACCTCTTTTTTTTTTTTTTTTTTTAATAATTTCAACTTTTATTTTTAGGGTACATTTGCAGGTTATTTTACAGGTTTGCAAATAACGATCAACATTAGAAGGAAATTATGTATTAAAATACTTTTATTAGTTGTATTATTGGAAATGTGTTCATCGTTAAAACAACTCTTTATTTATTTATTTATTTTTTTTACAACTCTTTAAAGGGAATAAAATTGTGTTACTGAAACAGCTTGTCCAGATTAAAAGTAAAGATGGCACAAGGAGGAAGGATTATGCCAGGTAGATATGGATTTTCTGGCTGGAGACTGCTGACCTCCTGTTTCTCAGACAGCTCTGTCCCGACTGACGGTCATTGGCAAGTAGATGTCTGGCAGGGTGTATACTGGTCTGCCTGCTTGAAAAAAATCTGCAGACACCAGAGACTCAGGACCAGGAAAAGGCACATGCCCACTACCCTGTATCTTATGGACAGGCAGGCTCTCTAATCTGTCCAGCTGGCCACTCCCGTCACTTGCCTGAGGAAAAGCATGAAAGGTAAAGTCAGGTAACGACCTAAGAGTCCAAAGAAGAGAGCAGGTCACATGGAGCTGGGGTAAAGGCAAACCTTATACAAGATACCTGATTAGAGCTTGAAAGAGAGTTTGAGTTGGCCGCGATATGAGGATCAAACACTGGGAATTTGATAGAAGGTCTCCACAACTCGAGCACCTCATTCTGGAAGCATGAGGGTGTTCATGAAAACAGGGAGGGGGCTTGAGCCTTCACCGACACATGGCAGGGTTAGGGTTGGGCAGAAGGCAGGGAGTCTAGAGGCCTCCATGGCCTGTGGATAGGTGACTGAGGAAGGACCCAGAGTGACTTGCTGGAGCCTCAGTCACCAAACCCTCGTGCAGCTTACTGGGAAAGATGTTCATTGTAAAATACAATATTGACACAAAATGCCCACAAATACATGTGTACAGTTTAATAAGATACTGTAAAGAAAGCGTCCATGTCACCCTCAGCTGGGTCCAAGTTGCTTGCTTTCCTTTCATCATCACATTGACACCTTAGAATAGTCCTGAGGGTTTGTGCTGAGTTGAGCTTTACTAATAAGGAAATAGTTGCGGCTCCAAGAGTTTAAAATTATTTGCTGCTGATCATATAACTTTTAAACAGTGGCCTGCTGACTGTAGAGGCTGATCCTGTATAAGCAGATATGGCATGTGACTGGGGAAGTCAGGGTGCAGTGGAAAGAGACAAGGGGGCCTCAGGGATGCAGCTCATTAGAAGCAGGAGGCAGTGATAGCTGTTTGCTCATTTTCTCTTGAGCTTCTGGCTTCCAACCTTTATGGAATGGAAATTTTGCTTTTAGATAGATAAAATTTTATTTCTGTATACTTTTTAGTTTTGCAGCATTTCCAGTCTCCATGAGCCTCATAAGTGGTGTTTTGATTTCATTAACTCTGTGGTCATGTAAACCCTCCTGTTTGCTCAGTTTATGCCCCGGAGAAAAGTAGAGCTGTTAATGATCAGCACGGCCAACATTGCCTCACTCCCACTTACATATGTTTTGTTTTCTTTTTTCCAGAAAACGCTTTCCTGGATAAAAAAGAAAACATTCCAGATGCGTGATCCAGCCGTGTGTTTTCATAATCCTTGGGAGAGTGCCATCCACATTTTAACTTACCTGTGCCTGAGAATTTAATTTTTAAAAAGTTTCGATTTTTTTTTTGTATGAGGTACTTTTAACATATGTATTTCATTGCTGTTACACTCTGTAAGGTGAACTTTTCCTTTTCTTCTTCCTAACCACTAATGTTAGAATTGACTTCCAAGAATCAGCGTGTATAGTTAATACTGAATTTCTTTAATTTAACTGAGTTAACAACTGACTAACTATTGGAGCACTCCTGATTTGTATCTAGAACATTCAGATTGACCCATTATGTTCCTGGGTGGTAGAGGCGTGTGCCTAGTGCTGTAGAAAGATCCGCTGGCCTGGGGCAGGGTCATTGCTTACCACACCACACTGCTTCCTTGCTTTTATGTTTGTACACAACATCTAAAACCAGTTTTGCTGCTATCATTCAGTACTGTTCATTTGTCTGTGAGTTTATTATCTGTTAACCAAATAAAACAATAGAATTACCTAATGAGATATATCTTTACACTTAAATAGCTTTTTTAGAGGTGATTTTTAAAGAAGTCTCTTGATTCTGATGCTAGGTCGTTTTAAAACCACTATGCAGAGAACTCACTGTAAGCCACGTGATCTCCACTAATACTGGTTATCCTGTGCTACACAGAAAATCAAAGTAGTCACAACTAAGATTCTTACCTACAAAATGAGATTCAGTAAACTCTTAACCAAAATTAAAAAAAAAATTTTAAGGAAAATTAGCAGTTTACCTATTCAGAATCCAACCTTTCTATATTTTATACTGCACTTTAGTGTATTTTCTGTAACTGTAGATATAGAAGATCTGCCTTCCCTGTGGAAATTGGGGTCTGTCGGTGGGCATGCCCCTGGAGCCCAGCTTTCCATTGAACAGTGTTCCCACCCTAAGGCCTTGGCACCCTGAACGCCTGATCTCTGATACCTACCAGGTTTTCCTGATTTGGGTTTCCTTTAAATATTCCTTTTTTGCATGATTTTCTGATGGGAGGAAAATAGCAGTAATCATTTTTGTGTGTGCAGACTGTCTCATTTTTTTTTAGCCGTTGTCATTTTATTCATTTTGTGTAATAACCATGTGTCGTGTCAAAGTGGAAGACATTTCAAGTCTGTAGTATAGCTAGTAGGCAGGTGTGCACATTCGAAGCCACACCTGGTCTGTTTTCTGTGCACTGTGGCCTTAGCCTCGCCTTTCCTCCCGTGTCTCCGGGTGGCACGCTCCAGGGGTTGCCTTTTTTTTTTTTTTTTTTTTTTAATCAATTACACTGAAGTTGGGAGATTCAGCTGCAGAAAGTGACAGATGAAAGGAGACAATGGTTGTGTAGGAAGATGGAGAAAATGCTCACTCTGAGGATGAGACAGGGTTTTTTGTTTTTTTGTGGGGGAAAACATAAAATGAGGCAGTTACACATTCGTTATGAAGGTGTGCTACAGAAAATAATCTGGTGCTCTTGCTAACTTTGCTCCTTCACTGTTGCTTGCAAATAGCCAAAAGCAGTATGTTATAGCTTATTGTGTGAAGGTAACTAAGAAAATGTGTTCCATGACTTTATAGAGTACATCCATGCAGAGTCCATTATTTGAGTTTTTGACATTTAATAACTTTGCTAGAAAAATCTGTAAAAAGAAAAAAAAAACATTTGCAAGTGATTAAGCCCCATGTATGTTTGTGCGAAAGTCCTACTTCAGGCAATCTGGTAGTAGTTGTGCACAAGGGGTGCCCAGGGCTGCACCTCTGACCACCTTTTGTGGTACTACCCAAACCTTAAGATATACTTTTGATAATAGATAACTGCTCTTTTACTAAGAGATCGTCTCTACCTATAGAAATGTATTTTCAAAACACTTATTTTACACAGCAATTTTGTATCCATTTAAACTAATCTTTTATCAATAAAGCACTATTGTTTAGATGTTAAATGAGTATTTCGGTTATTTGCAAAGGAAAGTTGTGAGGTTTTCTGGGAAAATTCAAAGCTTTGACAACATGTGTGTATAAAATAAGGGAAAATTACTTGCATCAATAGCATCAGTACTGAACAACTTTGTACGTATTGGAGATCCAGCCCAAAAGATAGCCAAAAAGATTGGAAAGGAATTATTTACAGGTGATCAGATCATCTACTTAGAAAGTGCAAGACATCTGGTGAAAATCAACACCAAGAGGTCAGTGATAGGTATTTCCTAATTAGAAAATATAGTGAGAAAAGAATGCATTGATAGCAACTACTGAATTCCTGGAAATACAAGTGAATGAAATATAAGAAGAAATTTCAAATCTGTACGTTTTCAAGACTAGATAGGCTAAGTAGACTCTACCACTTGAGTAAAAGAAACTGGAAACCTGAACTTCTAAGCCTGATCTGGCTGGACGCCTACACCCCAAGTCCTCTAGCCTTCTTGCTGCCCGCTGGACTGACCATCCCAGGACCACCTGGGCCCTTTTTACCTTGCTAGAGCTTCCTGAGCTTCCTCCTTATAGACCCTGGGTAGTGAAACCTGCTTTCTCTAGTTCCTCAGTTAACAGTCTCAGGTCACCGGCACACACCCTGCAGCATGCCAGGCTCACACCTGCAGTATCCCCACCTGCCCTGCCCGTCTGCGAGAGTCCTCTGTGTGCACCACTGTGGGCCTGATGATGTCACTGGGGGCTGGTTAGAGGAAGAGCCCCAGAGGTGGGTGACATGGGGGGAGCACGCCACAGTGCTGAGCCCAGTCTTGGTGTGCCCGGGTCTCAGACCCCCCAAAGTTGCCTCAGGAGAAGCGGAGGTTCCCCTCAGCCAACTTTTCTCCTGCTTGGGCTTTTGGGAAACGAAGGGTCAGGCTTCACTCTGGAATCCACAGCACCACGGAAGTCTCATAAGTGCCCGGTGTTTGCTGGATTTAATTATTTCCTCGACAGCCGCGCAGTGACAGTGGGTGCCAGGGCTGGGCTACGAGGGCACGTTGGGTAGGGTCTTGAACGCATAGTTGAATCAACCTTTCAAGAGGGAGGGAAAGTGCTACAGCGAGTCAGGTTTCCATTCTCTGGTGGGGGGTCTCTCGGCGAGAGGGAGACCGCAAACCTGCCCTGGCCGCCTCCACGGAGCAGCCTGTCTCAGCCTTAGCACACCCTCGCGCAATCCTTCGATGATCCCCTTCGGTCCGTGTAGCCCCATGAGGGATGCAGTGGGTGCGGGTAAGGAGGAGGCTGGCGGCCAGTGACGCAGTGCAAGGAGAGCCGCCAAGGTCCAGGCCAAGCCCAGCCCCGCCCAGCGAGCCGAGGCCCCGCCCAGGACGTAGCCCGCCCGGCCGGCCGCTGCCCCGCCCAAGATCTAGCCCCGCCCAGCGAGCCTAGGCCTCGCCCGGGACCTCCCCCGGCCAGGAGAGCCGATCCCCGCCCAGCGAGCCGAGGCCTCGCCCAGGATGTAGCCCCGCCCGGTACGCCGATCCCCGCCCAGCGAGCCGAGGCCCCGCTCAGGTCTCAGCCCCGCCCAAGATCTAGCCCCGCCCAGCAAGCCTAGGCCTCGCCCGGGACGTAGCCCCGCCCGGCCAGCCGACGCCCGCCGCACGAGCCGAGCTCTGCACAGATTTACACTCTGTGTCACGCCCGACTGGTCCCGCCCCTTCTCCGTCCGTTCACCAATCAGAACTCGGTCTTGCCCGTTTAGGCCGCCCGGCTGGAGAGGCTCCGCCCCGGCGCCCCGCAGGCCAATCGACGGCGCGTCCGCGGCGGGGGGCGGGGCCCAGGGCGGGGCGCGGGGGCTGCTTGGGCGGTCCCGAGCCTGCGACGCCGACGCCAGTGTGGAGGCCGCTGTTCGCGACTGCGGAGGCCGGGCCGGGCCGGTGAGGACGCTGCGGGCGGCCGAGAGAGCGAGGGTGAGGACGTGGAGCGGCCTGGGCGCGCTGGGCCGGGCTGGGCCTCTCCGGGTGGGTGGCGAAGCCCCGGGGCCCGAGGCGAGAGGTCCAGGCGGAAAGGGCGCCGAGGCCGAGGTCCGCCAGAGACGGTCCCGCCCGGCGTCTGAGGCCTTCGTGAGGCGGCTGCCGCTCCCGGAGCGCCGGGTTAGAGGAGCGTCCGTCTGTGGGGAGCCTGCCCCGTGGGGGCCGGCGGGGCGGTGGGCCGGGGAGTGTCCCGCGTGGACTCCCGGGTTG